AAACTCGCAGAACATCCACCATCCTTATGCTGTGAGGTTTGCAGGCTGAATGGTGTTTCGACGGGACTTAAGTTTATAAATATTTCCGTGTTGTAATTTTAGGATAAGTGACCTGATACAAGTACAGTCAAACCGTTGTGTTGACGTTGAAGGGACCTACGTAAATAATTCGAGTGATCGAGGTTCGACAGTACCGAAAATTGTGAATAGAGAAGGAATACGCAGGAACCAAGCTATTACTTCGAGATAGTCATCATTTCGACATAGCAAAGTTCGACACAACGGTGTTTGACTGTACTTAAAATGGATCTCTTTCACAAAATCCATTTACTAACTGTCTGATAAATATCCTCAACATATTGATATGAAGATGCACCTGATAATCTGTCACAGCATTCTCGAGGACATATAGAGGAAACTAAAACTTTCCATGTTATTCATAAAGCATCATGTAGTATCGATTTCCATTGGTGGGTTTTTACAGTTTAACTCAAGGAAATGAGAACTTGTCGAAAACTGTTTGATGATCATACAATCAACAATATATAGTACAAGCTTGTTTTGATCTGCAGAGTGTGGTTTTTGAAATACTCTCCTAACGTCATGAAGTCGGTTCTCTGGTCTGTACTGAATTTTTTCAGGATGTTCATGAACTATAACAGGAACATGCTGAATTTTACAATCCTGCATTCTAGATTGCACGAGGCAGCGGTGAAGAGAAGGTGTTTTCCGGTGCAGAGGGGGACGTCCGAGTAAACCTCAATGCCGACTTCCCCCCCCCCCCCCCCCCCCCACCCCACCCACACACACACACACCCACGCACCAACACACACACACACACACACAGCTTGTATTTACAAGGTGCGATGGAGCTGGGTGCACGTGCAACAGCGGCAGCGAACATATTCCTCGTGCATCGCGCAAGGGGGACTCACACAGTATAAATGCAGGCTTCAAAGAGTTCTGGTTTATTTTTCACATATTTTCCACAAGACAATATTTCGTCAAAGTGTGAAATTAGGGATGTCTTTTACATAGGGCACTGTCCTCGTAACTTGGGCCTCCATTATATTTAAGGGATAGAGAGGATGACGTCACAGATGCATTTTAATTCCGTTTAAGCGTCAAGACCACGCGACATTTCTCAATATCGCATTGGTCGTGTCAGGCTTGTCATTCGTAGATTGTTAATGTACATGTTTCATGACTTACAAAGTTTAGAACTTTGCAGCATATACTCAATGAAGGAGAGACATTTGTTAATTTTGCAAGTGGGAAACAATATGTGTTTATTTTATTTACTTGTCAATTACTACAGTATTGTGTGCATAAACTTAAATGATGTTTTTTTTCAAATTGTATGCAACAGTTGTCAACACGGATCGCAAAAGGAACAAGAAACAAGCCTTTATTAAAGTTTAGTAAAACTTACTACAAGCTTAGTACACATAATATTGTAGGGAATAAAAAATGAGAAAAATATCCTTTCAGAGATGGATAGAACTATCTACTAACTGATAAGTTAATTGTACGAGTGTACGATAAGCCACCCATTTCGCCTTATCAGCAAATATTATACAAACCGGTGAGTAAAATATCATAACAAGTTAGTGTCTGAGTGGACAGTGAAATTCACTCAGCAAGTTAGTAAACATCGCTAACTATATCAGTCAGCGCATGCACGTCTTTTGCACTCTGTAGTTTCATTGTGGTCAAAGAAGGTTAAAGTTAAGATTTGGTTAAAAATGACTAGCAGAGACCAGAACATAAAACACCTATTTCGCCAAAAAACAGAATCTTGTTGGTAATTTGCACCAAAATATTGTAAATCGCGTCCGCTCATACGGAAGTCAGATACACCGTCGATATATATAAAGTTACGAAAGCAATCCAAATGAACATAACAGTCACAAGCCAGGAGCGATGAAAATAACGACGAGGAAATCGATACCCCAGCCCATGTCAGTAACATGTGACGCTTTCATCTCTGTTTCAGGAGTGATGGCATGCAACATTAGCAATGATTTGACTTCCTGCAAGGACAGTAAGTTCAAATGAACACTCAAACGACACAGTCTGAAAACAAATTAATGTAATGTCATTACCTGTATTCACAATCCGATATTAGGAATATAGATTTAAAATTTTTGCCGCATCGGTGACAAAAAAGATGTCCGATGCAATTACCTAGTTTGACCTATACCATATGCCCCCGTGTATTTATAGGGAAACCACTGACTTGCCTTTGCATGTGTTATTCACGGGTGCCACCTGTGTGGCAGTGTGCGTTCACCTTTTTGCGAACACGTGGTATCATCTTTAGTCGATAGTGATTCATTTATACATGATGTAGTCGTTATCGTGCAATCGGCTCTGCTGTTGGCAGATACTTCTGATGGATATGGAAAGGGCTTTGTCGCTTTTGTTTAATAATATGTGGAACATTTATCACAGTTTATGAAATATGGGTTTTCAGTCAAGAGGTTTCTCAATCTCATTAAAATCAGACCTTAGTATTCGCTACTGCTAAACAAAGATCTGAGGACATCCAAGTACGGGTCACGTCAGAACGACCTTTCGCGAATTTTGACCGACCAATGAAATGACTCACAAGAAATCGACATTAGCCAATCAGAAGGCAGCTTTCTCGAGCTTAATGACACTAGTTTCAAACTGGCGACTACGCTTCGAAACATATTTTGACGTATTCTCGATTAAACAAAAAAAAACTGATAAGAAGAACATTCTTGAATGGCTTATTTATGGCCTAGATTGTACGGATATAATCATAAAACTCGCAACTGTCGTTTGGAATACCCCGTGTTAAATATTTCGTGGTTGCATGATTAGAAAACACATTCCGACAGTCACTTTCATGATCTTGTAAGCGACGCTCTGATTGGTTGGATGAAAGGTCGCTCTGACGTGACCCTTAATGGGATGTCCTCAGATCTTTGTTTAGCAGTAGCGAAAACTAAGATCTGATTTTAATGAGATTGGAGGTTTCTATTTGTGACACCAGCTCAATAAACTTCAATATGAGATACTAGATTTTCTTCACACATTCCAGGTTCATTCCATTATGAAACTCCACATAACCTATACGTTGTTTGAAACAAAGTGTTTGGATACTTCAGTGTGAGGTTACTTCAGTTAGATTGTTATCTCACAAAACTAATTAGTGAGCGTATGGGAGAATGCATGTTGATGTACATAACAGTGGTTGGTTCCTTCGTTCGTTTCTTCGTATGTACCTTTGTTCGGTCTTACGGTCGGTCGGTCCGTCGGGAGTGTAGCGAAACAGCTTTCAGGACATTTTCTACTGCCTGACAATATTTTCAAATATTTTATGGAGCTTCCTCATTTTTTTGTAAGTAAGAGTCATCTCCCTTCGAAATGGTTGAACATGCGACACAATTTGCAGCTGCACATCATCGCAAAGGCCACTGACTAACGTTATTCGGCTACAACATCTGTCCCACCTATCTTATATGTGCTGGCAAGTAGCAATAAGCTAGCAGTGTTCACATATAGTGGTGTGGCCCGGTGAAGGCGTGTTGGCGAGCAAAAGTACTGTAAGACAGGGTAGCCACCGGAGATCAATCTGATTGTATCGTAGCATGCTTATTTCCTTGTTTATCGGACATTGCGTACACCGACATATTTCACGGTCACTGCCTGTGTCGTTTTGTGATTTTTCATATTTTTCACCAAACAAAGTACAACTAGTATAACAATTATTCATGACGACAGGAAATACAAGCTTTCTTCGTTCAAGTGTGACAAATAAATGGCCGTCTGTATGTACTGTAAACTACCTTAAACACAAAAGAGACGAGATACATGCAGACTTCAGAAACTGCTCTTTGGGGACAAATATGTAAACTAATAGCTCAAATAATAATAGCCAAAGGGATATAACACTCCAAAGTTGCATATATTGTTTACACTTCTACTCCTATTACGATATGTGGGTACAACAAACAAGTAAAGCTAATCTTTCTGTGGTTCCTGTGTTTTGATTTTTTCTGATCCTTACCGACATTCTGATTCATATGCAAAATAAACTGAGGAAGAAGACTTACACAATTGGAGCCTATTGGGTACCCACTTCCTGCCAGCATGTCATATCCCTGAATTTAACAGAGGTGTGCTATCTATGAGGAAGTCCAGCATTTTACATTTTGCTTTTCAGTAATATTTGGTTTCATTTTTGACCAACTATCCTGAACCTCTCTATCTATGGTCACCAGTTTTTGTAACAAAAGCGCCATGGATCAGGAATTACGTTACTCGTGTGGGATAGTGGTGTACACAGTTGGATAATTACATGTTTGAATTGAACTTCGTTCTATCTGAGACTGCAAAAACCGCAAGCAAATTCTTTGAGTTTTTGAGAATCTAAATAGTATTAATTCCACATGTCTCAAATGTTTTTTGGAGAATATGAAGAATGTCCGTGCTTGATTATATTCAGGATAAGGGCTAATCTTTGAGACAGGACATTCGCTGGACCCAGCAATATATATCTCTGTATATATTGTTTTTCTGGAGTCGGGGGCCAAACGAAGAGATGAACCCGTTGAATGTCTTGCAGGGTGGATTAAGATCTGATCTAGCACATAAGAGGAATGGACATGTCTTCATGCTTTAGAGTGAAGCAAAAGTTGATAGAATTGATGCCAAAAATATCAAAGAGTGATGGTACCAGGTGTTATCGAAAAGGTGAGTGTATCCTGCCCGACCGGTGAAACCCGTCACAGATACATGCAAAGCAAGTCATTTGTTTAGTGATCAAATACGGGAACATATGGTACAAGTAGTCAAAAAGGGAATTGATAAAAGCAACTTCCATCTTCCTGTTGGTTTACAATTCGACATTATCTTGGAAGTAGACACTTTACCCGCACCTGTCTTGTATTTACATGGTGAAGATGATAAAAGTGATGTCCGACTACCTCAGCCATGGCGGAAAACAAGATACACAACACAGTAAGTCCTGAAGTTAGTGTTTAATACAATGCAATAAAGTAAATACATTCATGTTGGAGAGATAACCTTTAAACATCAATCCATTGAATTCTAATCAATGACACGACAAAACCCTTTCCATAATCATAAGCTATGTCTGAAATGGCACATGTCTATAGATGGCGTCTGATTAAATGTTATAACAAGTTATATGTGAAGAGTTAAACCGAAACACAGTTGAAATCATAAGCAGAGAAACAACTGAAATACAAAGGGAACTATTGGTATGAGAGCAGTCATGAAGAATCATATTATATGGCGTCTATTCTGAAAACACGACTTAACACGTTAATAAGCATAACCTGTGACGTTTCTGATTATCAGTACGCAGTATCATAATTACATCCACCTGGTGACAATTTTAAACGTTCAAATCTATAAACAAAGTCACATAAGATCAATAAATCAAGTGGCACATCTGCCAGTATACTTCATCAATCTGAAATAATGTACACACAAATTTAAATCAAATCAACCATATTTAAAATTCGATGGTTGCAATTTTGTTAATTATAGTCATTGTTATTTACAAATATGTCAATATCTATTGTTAAATATTTCTGTAACATCCCTGAAATAGCATCATGCGTGTTCTCTTACAGTTATCACAGCGTCTATTTTGTGGAGACACAGCACATGCAGAAGCGAATTACTGTCAATAAACTAATCATTTTAGGACTATAAACATATTAAATAAAGTGAAATAGTGTATGTCTATATATTCTGTTGCAGTTACCTTGATGCAGAGTAACGTGCGATGTAGACTGTTACACCAAGGGTTACATATTTAACGATTCCTGTAGTGCTGATATTTTTTCATTCCAAAGACAATAGACAGCGAAGCCCAACAGTGTACGTGGAATGTGTTTTACGGATGGTGCGATTCACATGTTGGCATACACATTCTGCGTCTCTAGATAGGTCGAGGCCAGGTCGTAACAAACGGATATCTCATCCTGCCAACACAGAGTAAAAAATTTACTACATACACTAATTGCCTTATCCTTAATTTCAAAGTGGCAATGGCTCACACAAAATACATTGTGTCGTTGTGCTATTGTTTGGCAGTTTTTCTTCCTCAGTTTGTCGAATTTTACGAGAATTTAAGACCAGTAAAGCCAAGGAAAGTTAAGGGTACCATTTATTCCGTTGTTGTTGCATTACACTTTAGTACCTTCAATGTTTGATGTGTACAATATGAGTATTTTTTCTTTCAAAGTGTGAGATGTATGTCACTGTTTTATTTATCGATGTGTATTCATGGCACACCGTCCCTGCATGTACCTGTGTAAGATGTTATATTAATTAGTGGCCCTCCAGTAATCGATGTGTATTCATGGCACACCGTCCAGGCATGTACCTGTGTGAGATGTTAGTGGCACTTCATTAAACGATGTGTACAGGCACACCATCCCTGCATGTACCTGTGTGAGGTGTTAGTGGCCCTTCAGTAATTGATGTGTATTCATGGCACGCCGTCCCTGCATGTACCTGTGTGAGATGTTAGTGGCCCTTCAGTAATCGATGTGTATTCATGGCACACCGTCCCTGCATGTACCTGTGTGAGATGTTAGTGGCACTTCATTAAACGATGTGTACAGGCACACCGTCCCTGCATGTACCTGTGTGAGGTGTTAGTGGCCCTTCAGTAATCGATGTGTATTCATGGCACACCGTCCTTGCATGTACCTGAGTGAGATGTTAGTGGCCCTTCAGTAATCGATGTGTATTCATGGCACACCGTCCCTGCATGTACCTGTGTGAGATGTTAGTGGCCCTTCAGTATTCGATGTGTATTCATGGCACACCGTCCTTGCATGTACCTGAGAGAGATGTTAGTGGCCCTTCAGTAATCGATGTGTATTCATGGCACACCGTCCCTGCATGTACCTGTGTGAGGTGTTAGTGGCCCTTCAGTATTCGATGTGTATTCATGGCACACCGTCCCTGCATGTACCTGTGTGAGATGTTAGTGGCCCTTCAGTAATCGATGTGTATTCATGGCACACCGTCCTTGCATGTACCTGAGTGAGATGTTAGTGGCCCTTCAGTAATCGATGTGTATTCATGGCACACCGTCCCTGCATGTACCTGTGTGAGGTGTTAGTGGCCCTTCAGTATTCGATGTGTATTCATGGCACACCGTCCCTGCATGTACCTGTGTGAGATGTTAGTGGCCCTTCAGTAATCGATGTGTATTCATGGCACACCGTCCCTGCATGTACCTGTGTGAGGTGTTAGTGGCCCTTCAGTAATCGATGTGTATTCATGGCACACCGTCCCTGCATGTACCTGTGTGAGATGTTAGTGGCCCTTCAGTAATCGATGTGTATTCATGGCACACCGTCCTTGCATGTACCTGAGTGAGATGTTAGTGGCCCTTCAGTAATCGATGTGTATTCATGGCACACCGTCCCTGCATGTACCTGTGTGAGATGTTAGTGGCCCTTCAGTAATCGATGTGTATTCATGGCACACCGTCCCTGCATGTACCTGTGTGAGATGTTAGTGGCCCTTCAGTAATCGATGTGTATTCATGGCACACCGTCCCTGCATGTACCTGTGTGAGATGTTAGTGGCCCTTCAGTAATCGATGTGTATTCATGGCACACCGTCCTTGCATGTACCTGAGTGAGATGTTAGTGGCCCTTCAGTAATCGATGTGTATTAATGGCACACCGTCCCTGCATGTACCTGAGTGAGATGTTAGTGGCACTTCATTAAACGATGTGTACAGGCACACCATCCCTGCATGTACCTGTGTGAGGTGTTAGTGGCCCTTCAGTAATTGATGTGTATTCATGGCACGCCGCCCCTGCATGTACCTGTGTGAGATGTTAGTGGCCCTTCAGTAATCGATGTGTATTCATGGCACACCGTCCCTGCATGTACCTGTGTGAGATGTAAGTGGCACTTCATTAAACGATGTGTACAGGCACACCGTCCCTGCATGTACCTGTGTGAGGTGTTAGTGGCCCTTCAGTAATCGATGTGTATTCATGGCACACCGTCCTTGCATGTACCTTAGTGAGATGTTAGTGGCCCTTCAGTAATCGATGTGTATTCATGGCACACCGTCCCTGCATGTACCTGTGTGAGATGTTAGTGGCCCTTCAGTATTCGATGTGTATTCATGGCACACCGTCCCTGCATGTACCTGTGTGAGATGTTAGTGGCCCTTCAGTAATCGATGTGTATTCATGGCACACCGTCCCTGCATGTACCTGTGTGAGATGTTAGTGGCCCTTCAGTAATCGATGTGTATTCATGGCACACCGTCCCTGCATGTACCTGTGTGAGATGTTAGTGGCCCTTCAGTAATCGATGTGTATTCATGGCACACCGTCCCTGCATGTACCTGTGTGAGATGTTAGTGGCCCTTCAGTAATCGATGTGTATTCATGGCACACCGTCCCTGCATGTACCTGTGTGAGATGTTAGTGGCCCTTCAGTAATCGATGTGTATTCATGGCACACCGTCCTTGCATGTACCTGAGTGAGATGTTAGTGGCCCTTCAGTAATCGATGTGTATTCATGGCACACCGTCCCTGCATGTACCTGTGTGAGATGTTAGTGGCCCTTCAGTAATCGATGTGTATTCATGGCACACCGTCCCTGCATGTACCTGTGTGAGATGTTAGTGGCACTTCATTAAACGATGTGTACAGGCACACCGTCCCTGCATGTACCTGTGTGAGGTGTAAGTGGCCCTTCAGTAATCGATGTGTATTCATGGCACACTGTCCCTGCATGTACCTGTGTGAGATGTTAGTGGCCCTTCAGTAATCGATGTGTATTCACGGCACACCGTCCTTGCATGTACCTGAGTGAGATGTTAGTGGCCCTTCAGTAATCGATGTGTATTCATGGCACACCGTCCCTGCATGTACCTGTGTGAGATGTTAGTGGCCCTTCAGTAATCGATGTGTATTCATGGCACACCGTCCTTGCATGTACCTGTGTGAGATCTTAGTGGCCCTTCAGTAATCGATGTGTATTCATGGCACACCGTCCCTGCATGTACCTGTGTGAGATCGTTGGCATGCAGATGCCCCAGTCGCCTGATGTTGTTGTAGATCTCCACCTCGTTGTCGTACTTCATGCCAAGCACGATGTTGCTGAGGATGCAGAACAAGGTAGCCACGCGTTTTTCGTTCTCCCTGGAAAACATGTCATTCTCTCTGTCTTTGTAAAGGAATTTAGCAAATGAAGATTCACGATTGGTTGGTATCATGGCATGATGGCTTCGTTTATCTCGACCATATGTAAAGTGCAAAAACATTACAAAGTCGAAGAAACAAGGAACAATGGAATCATTGCTATGTTAATAAGGCAACTTAACATTTAAACAAATAATTATTAAATTTGTATGATTACTCAAACGACCACAGTTAAGACTAGTATAAACGAATCACGGGAAGAGTACCTACCCGAAAACTACTGTCACAGGATTTGGGGTATTGTCCCTTGTGCCGAGGTCGACCTGTTCCAGAAGGTCAAGCAGGACGGAATGGTCGCCTCTTGGAAGCCTTCTCAACATGTACACACGAACAGTTTGGGACGAGGCATCACCCTTTAATATAGAAAGAGTGGCGAGTATCACATTGACATCGTACGCGTGCTAGATTATCTTGAGTTTATGTGTGTTATTACTTTTGATAAGACGTGATACAAAATGGAAGGCTGGACTAAAATATTAAGCGTATATGAGTCGGAGATGCATACTGAGTTTTTTTCAGTCGACAATTTTGCTATTAACGCTTGATTTTGAAGAGTTCTAGTTTATATCTACCTTTAGTACATTTTGCGTTGACATGAAATACAATTACTCTAAATCTAACCGACCTCCATCTGCCTGTGGATGTTCCTGAGTACGATGTCAGGGTTGATGGTGTTCTCGGTGGAGCATCTGACACTCACAGGACTCAGATCCAAGCTTTCTCCTGGCGCTGGTATGACGCATGACATACTCTTGAAATGGAATAATTTATCGTATATTTCTTAAATCGTTTTCTTTAATCGGATAGAACCATACTTTTAAGATATGATTATGACTGATTGCAGTTGGCAGATAATTAGATTACCACTTTCAGTTTGTTACGACTATGTTCTTTGCTTATGGCCGCTATATGGATACCCTTTAGGCTGCTGGTGGAGAGATCTACTATGATGGCTTCACCTGGTGCCTGTCAGGCAGGATAATGACAGTGGAAGACTCCTGTTCCTCTGTGAGTTTCCAGAACAGAGACGCTGTGGTGACGGAGGGGGCCTCAGTCAACAGGTAGCCATTCACAGACAGGTGGGACTGAAGGAGAATGAATACAGGACTCGGAATATGAATGAAGCCACGTGTCATCTTGAAGTATTGATATCACGGACATCCGTGTTCTGTATAAATTTGCATTACTGGAGGTATTAGTTATAGATGAAGTGTTGAGATATCGTAGATCATTTCATTACACAGTATCACCGAATGACCATGTCCATCGTGACACGTACAGGCATCACCACAGCTAGGATATCCGTGCGTCCGTCCACCCACACACGACCCTTCATGTTGGTTCCTAACAAGAGAAACAAATAATACATGGCAAGGTCAGGAAAAGCAATCGGTTCAACTCATATAAGACATGTCACTGTTATTCTTAAAATAAATTTTCCAAAAAGTATGACTGCTCTAATCAATTTTCTCATTAACCACAATTCTTAATTAGACATTAAAATCTAAATATATTCGAAAACAATTGCTTTTTCATCCTGTCAATCGAAATTTATGTGACAATTCACTCTGCTATCACTTAACAGCATGCCACATTCTACTACAACTCCAGCTAAAAGCAAACACTTGAATATTCACTTTAGGTGTAAGCAAATATGTGTGGTTGTGCAGGTGATACTCTATTCTTACCTGATTTTGCTCGCTGTATATCGGACTTCACTCTCTAGAAACCCAAGAAGACAACACGTGTTGACATATGACCTATGTTTAGGTACTTTGGGGAATATGTAGTTTCTGCATTCAAGGTAAATATATTCAAGGGATCAGTATGAGTGAGTGAGTGAGTTGGGATGGAATAGTAGTCCAGGTGTGTCATGACGTTGTCAGCTTGATGTGAAAGAAAAACCCGAAGTGATCGAGGTGTTGAAGTTTATAACTCTGGTGAAACCCATGACACCTGGTATGGTGCTGACAAACACAGAAACATACTCTGTGATTCAAACCCGTGACCATTGGTATGGTGCTGACAAACATAGAAACATAATATGTGATTCAAACCCATGACCATTGGTATGGTGCTGACAAACATAGAAACATACTCTGTGATTCAAACCCGTGACCATTGGTATGGTGCTGACAAACATAGAAACATAATCTGTGATTCAAACCCGTGACCATTGGTATGGTGCTGACAAACATAGAAACATAATCTGTGATTCAAACCCATGACCATTGGTATGGTGCTGACAAACATAGAAACATACTCTGTGATTCAAACCCATGACAACTGGTATGATGCTGACAAACATAGAAACATACTCTGTGATTCAAACCCATGACAACTGGTATGATGTTGACAAACAGAGAAACATAGTCTGTGATTCAAACCCATGACAACTGGTATGGTGCTGACAAACATAGAAACACTCCAGTGATTCCAACCCATGACAACTGGTATAGTGCTGACAAACATAGAAACATAATCTGTGATTCAACCCCCATGACCACTGGTATGGTGCTGACAAACATAGAAACATAATCTGTGATTCAAACCCATGACCATTGGTATGGTGCTGACAAACATAGAAACATACTACGTGATTCAATCCCATGACAACTGGTATGGTGCTGACAAACATAGAAACACTCCAGTGATTCAAACCCATGCCAACTGGTATGGTGCCGACAAACATAGAAACATAATCTGTGATTCAAACCCATGACCATTGGTATAGTGCTGACAAACATAGAAAAATAATCTGTGATTCAAACCCATGACAACTGATATGGTGCTGACAAACATAGAAACATACTCTGTGATTCAAACCCATGCCAACTGGTATGATGCTGACAAACATAGAAACATAATCTGTGATTCAAACCCATGACAACTGGTATGGTGCTGACAAACATAGAAACATAATCTGTGATTCAAACCCATGACCACTGGTATGGTGCTGACAAACATAGAAACATAATCTGTGATTCAAACCCATGACCACTGGTATTGTGCTGACAAACATAGAAACATACTCTGTGATTCAAACCCAAGACCATTGGTATGGTGCTGACAAACATAGAAACATAATATGTGATTCAAACCCATGACCACTGGTATTGTGCTGACAAACATAGAAACATAATCTGTGATTCAAACCCATGCCAACTGGTATGGTTCGACAAACATAGAAACATACTCTGTGATTCAAACCCATGACCACTGGTATGGTGCTGACAAACATAGAAACATAATCTGTGATTCAAACCCATGACCATTAGTATGGTGCTGACAAACATAGAAACATAATCTATGATTGAAACCCATGACCACTGGTATGGTGCTGACAAACATAGAAACATATTCTGTGATTCAAACCCATGACAACTGGTATGGTGCTGACAAACATAGAAACATACTCTGTGATTCAAACCCATGCCAACTGGTATGGTGCGACAAACATAGAAACATACTCTGTGATTCAAACCCATGACCACTGGTATGGTGCTGACAAACATAGAAACATAATCTGTGATTCAAACCCGTGACCATTGGTAAGGTGCTGACAAACATAGAAACATAATCTATGATTCAAACCCATGACCACTGGTATGGTGCTGACAAACATAGAAACATACTCTGTGATTCAAACCCATAACAACTGGTATGGTGCTGACAAACATAGAAACATACTCTGTGATTCAAACCCATGACAACTGGTATGGTGCTGACAAACATAGAAACGCTCCAGTGATTCAAACCCATGACAACTGGTATGGTGCTGACAAACATAGAAACATACTCTGTGATTCAAACCCATGACCATTGGTATAGTGCTGACAAACAGGTGCTGACAAACATAGAAACATACTCTGTGATTCAAACTCATGACAACTCTGTAACCCAACGCTGCAAACCGATTTACCGCACGTTCTCCCAGATCAATATGAGAATATTTTAAAGACAGGCTGAACATCTGCATTTCAGATATCATCATTCGTGATTTACTGGCAACACCGTTCCCCACCTGTATCCTATGCCAATACAGATATGTTTAACCAGATACTGACACATAACCTCCTGTATCAGTGTGGGTACTGCCAAGTTGCCCATACAGATATGTTTAACCAGATACTGACATATACCACCTGTATCAGTGTGGTCACTGCCAGGTTGCCCATACAGATATGTTTAACCAGATACTGACATATAACAACCTGTATCAGTGTGGGTACTGCCATGTTACCCATACAGATATGTTTAACCAGACACTGACATATACCACCTGTATCAGAGTGGGTGCTGCCATGTTGCCTATACAGATATGTTTAACCAGATACTGACATATAACCACCTGTATCAGAGTTAGTACTGCCATGTTGCCCATACAGATATGTTTAACCAGACACTGACATATACCACCTGTATCAGAGTGGGTGCTGTCATGTTGCCCATAAAGATATGTTTAACCAGATACTGACATATAACCACCTGTATCATAGTGGTCACTGCCATGTTGCCCATACAGATATGTTTAACCAGACACTGACATATAACCACCTGTATCATAGTGGTCACTGCCATGTTGCCCATACAGATATGTTTAACCAGACACTGACATATACCACCTGTATCAGAGTGGGTGCTGTCATGTTGCCCATACAGATATGTTTAACCAGATACTGACATATAACCACCTGTATCATAGTGGTCACTGCCATGTTGCCCATACAGATATGTTAAACCAGACACTGACATATAACCACCTGTATCATAGTGGTCACTGCCATGTTGCCCATACAGATATGTTAAACCAGACACTGACATATAACCTCCTGTATCAGAGTGGGTACTGCCATGTTGCCCATACAGATATGTTTAACCAGATACTGACATATAACCACCTGTATCAGTGTGGGTACTGCCATGTTGCCTATACAGATATGTTTAACCAGATACTGACATATAACAACCTGTATCAGTGTGGGTACTGCCAGGTTGCCCATACAGATATGTTTAACCAGACACTGACATATAACCTCCTGTATCAGTGTGGGTACTGTCATGTTACCCATAAAGATATGTTGAACCAGACACTGACATATAACCACCTGTATCAGTGTGGGTACTGCCATGTTGCCCATAAAGATATGTTGAACCAGACGCTGCCATATAACCACCTGTATCAGAGTGGGTACTGCCATGTTGCCCATACAGATATGTTTAACTAGACACTGACATATAGCACCTGTATCAGAGTGGGTACTGCCATGTTGCCCATCTTGAACACTTCCTTCCGTCCCCGCCGTTTAATGAAGTCCAGAGAGGCCAGGAAAGTATCTCCCACCGTCAGAACTTCGTGTAAGGTGGTGTACACACACGCATACTGCTCCTGGCATATAGGACAGACAAACATTAACATTAGTAGCGTATATCAACTACCTACTGTGGCTAACATTCATTATTTCTTATACATGTATGCAAAAGCGACTTTCCATAATCCAACTTAAGATTATAGCTTAAAATGACAATATTTTCGAGATTGAGCAACGTAGAAACGCACGTGTCGTACCTTTGTCTGAATCATATTTCTCCTCTGACGTCTCATGTCATTTGCAAACCTGAACACGTCAACTTTCTGGTCACGCAAGGCCCTGTCTAGAAGGTAGTCCACTGCAATGTACGTTCCAGTGCGACCTATCCCAGCACTGAATAGAACATAAAAATACATAACGTCAACGCCAGAGAACAATCAGCCTCGACTATCTGCTGAAACAGTCCATTGGACGTAAAAGGCAAAACAGCGATGACAATTATAGGAATGGATCACTGAAAATCACTGATGACACCAGGTGTTCGCTAAAAGGGTGAGCGTGTCCAGCCCTACCCGCAGTATCCGACATTTATACAATTTCTTTAAACATCTGAGCGTTTGTTTGTTGCCTGAGGCCACACAGCACTGCACTGCTTCTGCCATTCGACGGCGGCCTGTAAACAATGGAATGCTGACCAGACAGTCAAGTGATGGAGCAGATAATGTACTGACAACATAGCACTGATGTATTGATTTTGTGGAGCCTGCAAACAATATGTCAATTGTGAATTTCATCTGCTGTATACAAGTGAATAGCTTGTGCTGTACATAAGTATAAAAGAGAAACGTTTAAGGAACATGTTCGTTCTGCATTTCATAACTTTGTATCATATACAAACTGTAGACAGTAAAACAATCCGTGGCATATCACTAGAATCTAAAACAAGTTGAAGTTTACTATCAGGTTTACCTGCCCAGAAACAAGACAAAAATGAAAACTGCCTTTTTACAGACCTGCAGTGCACCAATAGGGGAGAGTTGTCAGGGTTTGGCGTCTTTCGAACTCTCCACAAGAGCTCCATCAGTGCCATTTCGTCTGGAGTACCATGGTCCGGCCATTTTGTGAAGTGGAATTGGTAGAACATTTTGTTTTCACCCGTCTGTTGGAAAAAGCATATGGTCGTCCCCGTTGTCACGATACACTTGGTCAGAAAAGGTTAAGAATGAGTGAGTGAGTGAGTGAGTGAGTGACGTCGCCTTTAGTAATATTCAAGCAATATCACGGCTGGGGACACCAGAATATGGCTTCAAACATTGTACCTATGTCGGGAAACAAACCCGGGTCTTCGGTGTGAATAATGCTTTGGGTACTATATTTGATATTTTCAATCGTTTGGTTTGTCAGGATATAGGCATATTTCAATCATTGTCGTGGATATTCTAATTGCATCTGGGCAATTAAGTGTAAATTATCAAGTCTCCTTTGGTCCCCAGTTAAAATTTGTACATGATTGTAATGGATATGAGGTACAAATGCTGATGTATTCTCGATTCCCAAAACCTGGCCAAGGCTTACATGCTGATAATAATATCCCTCAAATCATTGCTGACTTGCTGAATAAATATATCGAAAACACAAATCCGTTAACGTCGACAGACTGTCTAAAAATGCGTGATTCGTTTCTTAAAATAGAAATTGTACCTCAAAATTATTCCCAAACTTTAAAATCGGTAATAGGTAGTCATTATTCTGCCTCGATATACTGAGATGCCAAACGTCAAACAAAGCATGTACTGGATCGTGTGAGTGGCCAAAAATCACCTCATGCCCAGACATTATTCGGCAAGTACAGTCAGTCGTCATTCAGAATTAAGCATCGTGACATCAACTTGTGACAAGATACATGCGAGGTGGCCACATACCTGCTACCCTGCAAACAGTGAGATTCCTGACATATTAGAGGGGCTAGAAAAGTGTGTATCTGCACATATATTCGCAGTTGCAAGAGATGACGTCATGTAACATTACCTTATTTAGCAGTGACATACGGATGACCTGATTCCTGACAGATCAGCGAGGCGTGAAACGTGTGTATCGGCATATGTACTCCCAGTGGCAAGAGATGACGTCATGTAACATTACCTCACTGAGTGTAGCGGTGAGTTCTCTGATGACCCAGCTGGCCCTGTGAATGACCTTGGTAACAGTGATGGTAAAGGGTCCAGCTTCAAGGTCAGATGTGTCAGACCAGTAGGGTTCACACTTCACCTTAATGAAGAAGACAGCTCTTGAAGCATTACTGAGCAAACACTAAAACATGCGTGCACATATCCGGTGACGAAAAGGGATAAGAGACAGATATACATTTCTTTAAAACTATATGTTGTTATAAAACTATATGTTATTATAAAACTATATCTTGTTATAAAACTATATCTTATTATAAAACTATATGTTGTTATAAAACTATATGTTATTATAAAACTATATGTTATTATAAAACTATATCTTGTTATAAAACTATATCTTGTTATAAAACTATATGTTATTATAAAACTATATCTTGTTATAAAACTATATCTTGTTATAAAACTATATCTTGTTATAAAACTATATCTTGTTATAAAACTATATGTTATTATAAAACTATATCTTGTTATAAAACTATATCTTGTTATAAAACTATATCTTGTTATAAAACTATATGTTATTATAAAACTATATCTTATTATAAAACGATATCTTGTTATATAACCATATCTTGTTATAAAACTATATCTTGTTATAAAACTATATCTTGTTATAAAACTATATCTTGTTATAAAACTATATCTTGTTATAAAACTATATGTTATTATAAAACTATATCTTGTTATAAAACTATATCTTGTTATAAAACTATATCTTGTTATAAAACTATATGTTATTATAAAACTATATCTTGTTATAAAACTATATCTTGTTATAAAACTATATCTTGTTATAAAACTATATATTATTATAAACTATATCTTGTTATAAAACTATATCTTATTATAAAACTATATCTTGTTATAAAACTTGTTTATTTCACTCACTAATGTCCCCTATTCGCATCAAATGAACAAAACTGATCACCTTGCCCATCTCCACCAGGTTTGTCAACATGACGATCTTCGTTAAATTCTTCTGATATATCATTCTCCAGAAGTCAGCGACAGTTTTCTTGTTTGGTGCTGTGGTAGTGATACATGGAAGCAAAGACTGTATGACTACATACACATAGATACATAAAACGGGGTACATTGTGATATTCAGCGAAATATTTATTATGGATTTCAAATTATGAAAACATGAATGTTTATATCACCTTGAGCTGCAATATAGGCTTGTTTCTTCGAAAATCCCTGAAACATAGTTAACTTTGTAAACATTGTGTATATATCATATCTTTAATCATCTATGCTCATCAAACAGGCTTTGAAAAGGATGGATGTAACCAAATGAGGAGTCTTACATACTATTGCAAGGCTTTCAAGATCCCCTGTTATATAATTCCTAATTCTGCACCTCGACACAAAGTGGTCACTCTTACTGTGCTTATTTTGACATAAAAACAGTCAGAACAAGTTACTATGATCAGTTTAATTAATGTCTTGTGAATAAGAAAGCTCAAGATTACATTGATATAGCTGGCGTTGACATAGTCGGAGGATGGATCCCCCGGAAGCTTGTCCAGGACAACTCGGTTGTAGTCATCTGCGGTAAACATGGACGTGTTAGTTTCCCTGAGGCATCCCCCTCTGTATATGAATATACATGTGAATGTATTGGTAACAGATATATAAAGTCACAGCACAATATGTGAATACTCACATGGGTAATATTGTAGGAATCTGTTTTTTCCTGTGTTCCCCTCAAGCTGAGAGTCTTCGTATGTGTGGGTGAACCCAGAAATCAATCGCTAGGTATTGAAAATTATTTAATATCAATGTATACTGATGACTGCGTTCTGACATACACTATCTACTGTATAGGTTAGCATCAATATTATCGGAAAGGCAGAATAAAAAATAGCAAACTTAGAAAATACCATTTTTTAGTAACATGCGTGTTTTCACTGGTTGGTTCTATCTGATAAGTGTGATGTCGGAACAAACTCTGTTTTTAGAAAACATCTCTTCAACCAAAATAGTATATTTGCATTGATTTTATATTGCCATTTGATGTTTTGTGGGTGGTGACAATTACACATACAAAATAATCCTTGTAATATTCTTCAAAAGAGTCTTCACAATCACTTGAACACACCTGGTATTCATTTTCGAATCCATGTTTTGTAGCCTGCATGTCTCTTATCCTGTCCCCCAGCTTGTCCGCCGCAACCTCGGTCACGATAACCGGCCCAATGTTGTAGTAGGTGTCAGGTGTGTTAGAAACCCCAGCCTCATTTTCCGGCTCCTCCTCTTCATAACCATCATTCACTCTTGGTGCTTCAGAAACACAACATTTACCCTACTAAGTCTATTATAAGGGGTTGTGTGCCATTGGATTTTAGTACAACTGCCATCACAATAGTTCCACAGGAATTGGGGCAATGTGAAGGCACACCGTATATGTTCTTTCATGAAGAAGACCGCACTTCAATTTATTCTCTCTCTGCTGTGGAAGTTGTGTAGTAATGATGCAGGATGCATAAAGCCATGCTCGCTATCTAAACAAGAACGACTGACTGAATGCTGAACTGAATTGATATGATCGGGAGATCTTACCTTGCAGCTCTAATACGTGTGGTTCAAAGGCAGACACGTCCTCATAAACAGAGTGTTCTTTAGTCTTGCTGTTTGCCTTTCTTTTCCTCCTTTAACATTGTAAGGTCAATTAATGTCACATAGTTTTATACAACGATGTATCGATGAAGAAAGAGCCATGCTCATAAAAAAGTAAATGCCTCAACCTCGGTTAAAATAGAAAACAAAAACAAATACTCATCGTTTTAACTATTTGTCAGTTTTGATATATTTTGAATAAACATGACACTGCTGTATGTGCATGATACCTATAAAAGAAGACTGCTACAACAGTGACAACAACCGCAGCTACGGCAACAACTCCACCAATGGCGCCACCAATGGCGCCACCATTTCCAGGTGATGACGATGCCGATTGACTTTTGACTGAAACCCATAAATAAGAATGCAGTCTCATGAGTGAGTGAGTGAGTTTGGTTGAAGGCCATTTTTAATAGCATTTTAGATAGTTCAAAGTGACTCAGCCTCATATTAAAAGACAACACAAGGTTACATGAACAAGAAGAGGATGTGCATCGCTTTAATGTAAAGAGTTGGCAAAATATTTAAATTTTACTGATACATATAAATCTATGTTAACATCGAGTATTGGCTACTACTATTTAACAACGCGTTAGCGTACCTCGTTGACAGTTGTCGTTACTCCAGCCTGGACTGCAGCCCACGAGACAGGTTCCGTTGACATGGTGACAAGGTTCATTGTCTATACAATGTCCACACGTTAAGGAGCAGTTAACACCAAACGTGCGTGACTGACATTCTGCAAAATAATATATTAACTTGTGATGTATATAGTTAATAATTAATTATCATAATACTCTTAAAAGTAAATACACTAATATCCAAAGGAACAGCCTAGAATTTAAACAAAAACCTGTGAATTCATAATTAATATATAGTCGGAGCGTTGTACTCTGTGAATACTAATCGGTTTTAAACTTGAACTTTCTCAAATGGAGTTTTCACATCCGTTTATTCATTGACACCATCTTTTTTAATGAAATGTTTGGAGTGGTTGTGCAGGACATGATGATGCTTTAGGTGAACCCCTAATTCACATAAGTTTTATCTAATTCGCCTTCTACGCCCAATTGAATCTCTTCCGGTAGATGTTAGCTACCGAGTAGTCTCGGACGTTGACGTTTTTAAAATACTTGTACCCCTTTGTTTATCAACAAAACTTAATCTAACCTCGTTGACAGGTGTCGTTAACCCATCCTGGACTGCAACCCTTAAGACAGGTTCCAGTGACATGGTGACAAGTTTCATTGTTCAGACAGTGTCCACACGTTGAGGAGCAGTTAACACCAAACGTGGGTGACTGACATTCTACAGGTAAGAACATTATACTCTATAAGATTAACACTTCTTTTGAAGATACAGTAAAATATCCCTGATTCGAAGTAAAAAAGGAAACCTAATGTTCCAAGACATTTTATGTTAAGCATATGTATTAAGTCATTAATAGAACAGAAAGTTACATGTTATTTGTTAAATGATGCTCTATTACTAGTTGGTATGATAGCCTCACATACTCAACATACAGTCCACTCCCTCCCATCCAGGCTCACATCCTCCTTCACACCGTCCTGTATCCCGAGGACACGTGCCCGACTCTGCCTTACACTTCCGGGCACTGCAGTTACCTTGGCATCCAGGGCCGTAATCCATATTTGATATACACTCTGTAAGATAATACACTGAAACGCACTGAAAACGCACCAGAGGTAAAAAGTGAAATTGACGCTAAACATAATTTTATTTGGTGTTGGCTGTGCACTACAATCACACTCAGAAAGCTCAGTACCACATTGGTAATGACAAGTGTCATTGGAAAGTACACAATGTTAATGTAGAGGAAATGGAAGTCACAAGGGGTCCAAAGACAAAGTCAGTACCGGGTATGACTGTCCCTGGTTGGAATGCATGCCACAGACCGCCTTCTCATCGTCAATATCATTCTCAAGATAACGGCTTGTGGTACCCTACGCCACTCACGTTGCAGGACAAGTGCGAGCGCTGATCTCTGACGTTGGCGGTTTAAGGTTGACGTGCAATGCGCTGTCCAAGGTAGGCCGAAAAGTGCTCCATGGGCGATAAATCGGGAGATAATGCAAGCCATGGCATAACAGGTGCGTCAGTCTGTGCCAGGAAGTCCATAGAAGCACGTGCTGTATGTGCTCCGGCGTCCTGTTGGAAAGTATGCAGTTCTTGTGTTGACGCAAACAGAGGACAACGTGACGTTTTAAATATGGCGTCCCTGTAGCAAACTGCATTGACAGGACCTATGCATACATAGAGCTGTGTTCTGTGCCGAAATCTAATATCGCATCAAACCATCACACTTCTGCCGCCCCATCGATCATCAGTCACGATCATCGTGACAACGTTCACCACGGCGATGCCATACCCGTTGGCGTTCCTGAGGTGAAATCAAGATTCGTCAGAGAAGAAAACGTCATGCCAGCGTCGAAGTAACCATTGTCTCTGCCGTGTAGACTTGCATCACGGTGCCTTAGGGTCAGAATCGGGCTGAGGAAAGGATGACGGATCATTCCCGTTCCTCAAGTGTCAATCGCGGCATTGCGTCCTCAGTGCTATTCCGCAGCTACAGCGATTATGCGGGTAGCCTTTGAAAAGGTAATGACAGTTTGCATTTTTCGTGCTTTGACTACTTTTCACTTTTGCGTTTTCGTGAAGAGTCCCAACGGCTTTCAAACTTGACAACATTTTGGTGCTTCCTTAAGTCCTAACATGGGATATGTTCGTTGTTCTTTGCCAACTATCATGATATGTTCATGGATTCATGTTGGTGCGTTTTCAAAGCGGGTGAGTATAATTTAAAGAAACACTGGATTATTGTTGATGGTGTTCACAGCACAAAACTAAACATACACACTTAAGACAACTGATAAATGTGTCATATCTTTATTATGTAGCTTGGGTGCTTTGGCGACATTTCAAATACTGTTTCTGCATAACTGGCAATGATCAAGTCACCGGGCCTGACCACCCGACTGTAGATCATCCCTTATGACCAGTGCATGTTGCTGGGGATTAATACTAACCCGACGGAGGGAATAATTAAATTCATCATTAAGGCCAGTCGTAGGCCAATAGCGTATCATAACCAGATTGATACAAGTGGCACTATTAGCACAATAGCTGAGTGTTTTTGTCCCCCTGTCGTATCCGTAAATGAACCTCATGATGATTAACTGTCTCGGTCAACGTTTCCTATGCATGTGGAAAAAACTGAGTTTTAAAACAAACTAATGCAATTGTGTAATATTGTTGTAACACAATCATTTGTTTTCTAAAGAGGAGTTGTATCATATGGTGTTTGCTAAAACAAAACACTTGATCATTTCTGACCTTTTGCTGGTGCCAATACTATTTCATTCTATTACTTAGCCCATGCTTCCCATACAGTCGGAATCTTGCTATTGACGCTGCTGATGGCACAGATGGAACGTGTTCTGTCACTTTGTCTTTCCATCCCGCCTTACAGTCACGTTTATTCCAAATGATATCAAATAGTTCATCGGATAGTTCAGTTTAGTTTAAATAAATAAAGCTATATAAATGCTTAAGACACTACTTGTTTTCGATCTTACAAAAGTTTCCATGAATCGCAACTAAGAAAGAAACTACACACTGGTACATTTCATCAACAGAAGCCATGCATGACGATGGGACCTACCCGATGTACAGTTCACTCCCTTCTCTTGAAGAATAAGTTAAACTTTTGTACAGCAATACCAAAACAGCAGAGTTAAGATCGGATCGTGTGTCATTCCGTATGCCATTTGAGTACTTGCTCACATTATGAGGCAATGTCGTGTCTTGTCCTAACTAGATAAAAATGTTGTGAAATGCCTAGAATCGCACTGACTGAAATTTACCCTCTCTGCAGTCCACTCCTTTCCATCCTCCCCGACATCCATCTGTACATTGGCCTGTATCCCTGGCACAGGTGCTCGATCCTATCTGGCAAAAGCGGGCACTGCAGTTTTTGAGACATCCAACTCCATATTCAAGACCATCAGCACATTCTGTGGGGATATTCACATAGAATCGTTGCATGATCATGATGCTTTAATCGTTATCTTTCTAACCAGTGTAAGTCACGATGGGACAGTTCAAGTTTAGAAGTGTGCACTTTAGTGTCACTGAAGAAGGTGCAATCAAGTGCCTCTGGATGACACTAGACTCACCATGGAACACTCTGATGGCACCCACCTTGTGTACAGTCTGTATCCTTCCATCCGGCCTTACAACCATTTTCACATGCCCCAGTCACGTGGTCACATGCAGATGAAGCCGTCCCCTCACAATGTCTACTGGAGCAGGGTTTGCTGCACCCATCTCCGTATGTATTGCTGCATTCTGTAGAATAAACCAAAGCCGGGTTAATGAAAGTGAAAAGATAAAATTAGCGGGATCACGAACATAAACAACCTTGACATATTGAATATCATTTTAGTTAGTGTGTAAGATATTCTCACTAACAGCTGAATATATACCGACATCAAAGATTTTAACTCAATAAAAATATATATTTTGATAAAATACTTTTTCAACACTGATTTGTTTTCGATGTTTAAAATGTTGCCATGAATGGGAACAGAGAATGAAACGATACATTGATACTTTTCATCAACAGAAGCCATGGCTGACAGTGTGACATACCTGATGTACAGTCCTCTCCGTCCCATCCAGGCAGACATCCTCCATCACACCGGCCTGTATCCTTGGGACAGGGGCTCTTTCCTTCCCTACACTTCCGGGCACTGCAGCTACCTTGGCAACCACTGCCGTAATTCACATTTAGTATACACTCTGAAAGGTAATCATTTGGAGAACCGTTGATATATTCTTGTCAGTATTGACAGCAGGAAAATAGGCATACATGCTACTCACTTGAGAGAACTGATAGATGTCTCAGTTCCATATGTTATATAACTCATGCGTTTTGTCAACATAACAAATACTAGTTCTGTATAAAAGGTATGGTGTGAGCGTTCTTTGGGTGTGTTTTGTTGTTTTCAACGCCGTACTCAGGAATATTCCAGCTATGTTACCGCGGCCTGTATAAAATTGAGTCTGATTGATTGATATTACATACAACCTTCTATACCGTCGGGAATAATGACACACAATCAAGCAAGTTACCAGGCATGTCCACCAGATTCATTAAGTCATCTTGGGAGTAATTCTAACCCTACAGGAGAAATGAATGTATCAGTTAATGACAGTCGTTCGGCTTTGTATATCATCACAAGGGGGATAAGACTGACACAATTTTAGCAGTTATGAAGAAATAAGGTGTATTTGTCATCCTTTCGTATCTGTGATTGAACTTCATGCCAATTTGTCAACTATGTCTTGGTCAACCTTCCTTATTCATATGGAAAAAATGAGTTTCAAAACTAAATGATACATCTGTGTCATATATATTTATATTGCACTGACCTCATTTCCCAAAGATGTCATACAGAACTCTTTGAAACCAAACATTGGACATGGTAGGCGTTTCTCACCTGTTCCTGGTATCATCACCATTATTGTGATTCATTTATACTTGATTATTTTGTCATGGGAAGCATACATTGGGCTCTTTTTTAGCAGCGATTTATAAAGATGATGTTTGTTTGGTTAGTTGGTTTTTAATGCTGCACTCAGCAATATTCCATCTGCTCACATTATTAGGCATTGGCTTGTCTGGTACACGTCGACTGTAGGCCGTCATCATGTGCCTGGGCTCATACTGATTGTGGCAGTAAATGACATTTACTATGAGGTGTAGTTTTACCTATTGTGCAGTCTTCTCCCCTCCAGCCTGCCTGACATCCATCAATACACCGGCCTGTATCCCGGGGACAGGTGCCCGATCCTATCTGGCACATCCGGGCACTGCAGTTTTGGAGACATCCAACTCCATATTCCAGATCATCAACACATTCTGTGGGGATATTCACATAGAATCGTTGTATGATCATGATGCGTTATTCTTTATGATTCCTAGCAACATTAGTCATGGTGGAACAGTTCAGGTTTAGAATTGTGACCTCAACTGTCACAGAGCAGGTGCACTAGACTCACCGTGGAACATTCTGATGACACCCACCTTGTGTACAGTCTGTATCCTTCCATCCGGCCTTACAACCATTTTCACATGCCCCTCTCACGTGGTCACATGCAGATGAGGCGGTCCCCTCACAATGTCTACTGGAGCAGAGTTTGCTGCACCCATCTCCGTATGTATTGCTGCATTCTGTATATTGGGAATACACCATACGTCCGGTTAATGAAAGTGAAGGGGTAGAATTAACGGGATAATGAAAGTACACAACCTTGTCACATATCACATATCAATTCATCACGATATTAGTCAATATAGACCAGTTCAAAGCATGTGTTGTTGTGAATTGCTGTAACTCCGAAGTAAGTCTCCCTGACTTAGCTGAGGGTGCGGGTCACTGCTCGCAAAACGAGGCACTGGGTTGTCTGGTTCAAACTCAATTATATACATGCAGTTGTGTATGGTTAGCCAGGCTTGGGCTGCGGAGTGAGGAGACATCCACGATCAGATGCAGTTTGAATGGAGCAGGGCTTTCTACACCGCATGTATTGCTACATTATATACACATCAAGAAAAGTTAAGCACCCCCTAATTTAATGTATGATAATACACTACCGAAATGCTTAGTGTTGATTGCAGTACTAATTATGATATTAATGTTGTTTTGTCCGAATAATGTGACCGATCATGTCTGATGGTGACGTCCCAGTTCCCCGTGTTTTGCACGTGCATCCTGCTTCCCTAGCACTCAGCAAAAGACAGTTAGTTCGCCCAGCAAATACTGGCACCGAAAACAGTGCAAACTGATTTGTATAATCCTCAAATGGTACAAAGGAGATTATGAGAAGCACAAAGACGGAGAATCATTGGTATGTATTCCACAGGAATATATTTCAAGGCGATTGGACGTCAACTGGGTTACCATTACTCAGTAATCAGCCGACTAGTGCAAAAACAAGCCCAAACCAATTCAGTAAAGGGACTGCCAAGTACAGAAATCCCTCCTGTGACGTCAGGACTTGAAAACAGCATATTACTGCATATCCCACGATTGCAAGCTAGACCTTGTGACTATACGGGGCAATCCCATTGGTGAACGTTACATCCGGGAGGTTCTGGAACCTGTTGTTGTTCCCCATTTTGACAACCACCCTCTGGCATCAAGACCCCTTCATGGACGATAACGCTAGGCCCCGCCGTTCAAGAGCTGCGAGCATATTTGGCAAACAACGCCATTGCAGCTCTACCTTGGCCTGTGGTGAGTCCAGATCCCCATAGAACATATTTGGGACATTTGGGACATTCTTGGACGTAGAGTGTAGGAAATGGACCCTCCTCCACACAATCTGGAGCTTTGCATAATGAATGAGCGCTATTTCCCCTTCCGCTACCTGTTATTAAACCTTTTGACACGCGAATGTCATTAATGGTCGTTGATGCACACTTTTATTCTTTATGTGCAATAATTTAAGGTTGTTCCAGATTAGCAGTGCTATATTTATAGAGGATGTTATGCTGTGGTAAAAACAGTACCGGTGTTTGGGCAACCATATCTCAATTAAATTCCATTCGGGCTCAAAATTGTTTTGTTTTACTTGTTCTCAGATGATAGCTGTTTACAAACATAGTGCTTTCTCCAACTTCACTCTGCCCATTTTATCATGTTCGTGAATCTAATTTACTATACAGAAAATTTCTAGGGGGTGCTGAACTTTTTTATGTGTATATATGTAAATATAACTATGAAGGAATGTATGATCATGGAAACAAAAAAGCCTGGAACTATCCAATAAATATTTGGGTCAGAATATTATCGAGCATATGATAAAACATGATTGTGTACGACATTTGTATCAATAATTATTCACAACAAATATATATATTATTGGGTCTGGTGTTACTTAACACACATTACTCACTGATTTCAACGAATAGCTGTAAGTACTTTCATTTCCGAACACTGATGTTGCTGACAGACATTTCAAGGATGTCACGTTTACATAACAAACAAAAGCAACACAGTTCTGTCAATAATCATAAGAAACCCTTGCTAAAAGCAGAACTCGTTGTAAGATTCCCACTGTATCATAAGTAGAGGCTATGAATCACTGCCAAATTGACAAGAGGTGTTCGCATAAAGCCTAGTGTATCCTGCTCATAAACACGTGCAAATAAAATAATAAAAAACATCTTCCAATGTGCAAGGACAATCTAAGGCTCTGTAATATTCTGCTTCTGTAATCCATTTAGCACTGACCTGTCGCGCAACTGTTTCCAGTCCAGCCAGGTTGGCACAGTTGTGTAGGACAGTCTCCTGTTGTGTAGTCGCAGGGTCCGTCTTTACAGTGGCAGTAGTGGTCACAGTCATCTCCAAAGGTACCAGGATCACACACTGTTAAACATAATGGTTGCTCTGTTATCGCATTTTATCCGGTGAAAGGGTCAGATGTTCTGGTTGTATTACCACACCTGTTCACCATGTAATTAAATGCTGGTATTGAAGATTCAATTAAACCAACAAGAATATTGATCATCAAGCTTTTGTTCCCAATGATCAGTAGCCCATCCCATTGTTCATGGGAAGATTCATGGGAAGTGCCTTACCATCCACTTCCACCTCACAAAAATCCATGACTGGTAACACAGTGGTGTACAGAAGGAGATAGCGCCCTCTACCGTGACAAGGTGCGTGAGTGACGTTACTTATTTTCATCCCATCGTTTCTGTTCGTGACGTTGTAACAGTTGAGACCACTTGGGACCTGGATAGAGTTGGTTAGGTACACTTGGATGCCATTTCGTCTTGGTGTATCTGACGAAAAACATGAGAATACCACTTCTTAGAATAAAGGAATACAAACAACGACAAACATGCTTACAAAGCTTGACACAGCCAGTCTGTATTAGAGCTTCCTTCTTGCACTAATACTTTCTCGCAAAGCCAGTTATTATTACCGAATGTAAAACCAATTCATTGACTTATTCATTGCTTATTCATAACAATGAAAGCAGTTTTGAGTTGCATTTCTAGTTTTATTAACCTTTAGTTCTACATAGCTCGGCACATATGTAACAATATTAGGCCAAGATGTTCACTTGCGGAAGAAAGCGTGAAAATTTGTACATAGGGGTTTCAGAGTATGGAGAATCCGATTTTAATGGGATCCACGCTGGCAACACAATGGTTCCTCCTCAAAATTTAGAAATTCAAGATGGCTGCCATCTGTATTACAAATTTCGATATATGGCCATAACTTTGGATCTATTTGACATAGAAACATGATCTTGGTGGCAAATTATAGGTTTTCGAGGCTGTACTATGTGGTGCATCCAGAACAAGATCCAAGATGGCCGCCATCCGTGTAACAACTTGTGTAAACTACAAATCTGCTTTTTTGAAGGGTGAACGATTTTAACTAAAACCGCATCTAAACATTAATTTATAAATCTCTTTTCATTTATTTTTCAGGAAAATCATAACAAAAGTACACCTGGTGAATGCATGAATAAGCATAAATTTGAGGTTGTGCTTAATTTGCAGAATTTGACAACATGCATTCTGATCAGCATTCAGCTGAAACTTTTGATATAGATTTCTGAGAAATATTGAAACGAACTTAACGAATCTGGGCTCATGCCATTATTCCGTGATAATGCACATTCTTTGGCGATGATAAAGCATGGCATAGATGAAATCGCTAAATATACCGAACATGTGCATCCTGGACAAGTCCCAATATTGACTGGTGATCGGCCGCTGTATGCCATCGCCAAGAAGATCCAGTGGACCTGGACAGCTGCCTATGGCGAACACAAGTATGTGGTCATGATCGGTGGATTACATAAAGAGATGGCGTTCCTGAAAGTTCTAGGAGATTGGCTAGATGCCAGTGGATGGTTGGTTGTACTGACGACTGCGAACGTTACCACCGATGGTAGGGCTGATGCTCTTAGAAATGGATCATTCACAGCACGTTCTCAGTGGGCTCATCACGTAACAGCTGCTGCACTGTTTTGTTTACGTAGCCAAGCCTGGAGTTCATACAAAGCAGAAGCAGAGGCAGACGCGAGGCATGTGATGCCATTAGAAAACTGGTGCACACACTTGGAGACGCATCATCCACAGTTTCGAACCTCAAACTTGAGGTTCTCTTCCTCCATTTCATGTAATCACAGTGTGAAGGAAACTTTGAGCTCTACATTGGCACACAAGGAACATTTGTGCATTGGATGTTTGCCATGGATTACTTCCACCATGCGAGTTGGTTGTCTGTTCACATGCGTGATCTGATGCAGTTACAGCGTAAATGTCCAGCAGTGTGCAATGAGTTCAAAAAAGGACACTTTGTGACACAGAAAACGACTCATCGCTTCTCCATGATTGCTCATGACCATGTACACGGGCAGCTCAATGCTTTGTTAAAAGGGGATGGTGCCTCTGCATCATCTAAAAATGAATGCAGGTCCCGAGATGGCCAGAATCATACATGAGGTTGAAGTTAGCACATCTCAGAAGACAACCCAGAATGATCAACACCATGAGTAAACTCTGACCACACAAAAGAAATTTGCAACAAATGTCCAAAGCGTGATTGATGTTCTACATGAATTGGGTAATCCCTTCACAGAAACGAGCGCTGATCTCCTCACACTGATCACGAAGCACACAGCTCTGCTTTTGTGGTGGACAGTGTACACCAAAGGACATTGAGTGACGGACCTCTTGCAGACATCGAGTAAAGGACTTCTAACAAGAAGGGAACAGTTGGGTTTTTTAGAATTAGGTGGAATACAACAACTTTGAAGTTTATAGGTTGCTTGTATGATAGCATCACGTCAGAAAAAACAGTTTTGTTTGATTCTTGATTCTTGTATTTTTACATGTATTAGCGTCATCATGCCCACAAAATATTTTCAAAATCTTATAGTTGCAACAACTTTATTCACATGTGCTGATGACAGAAAAAATAAATCAATAAAAGCTATGTTTAAAATTATAGTTCAACTTAAAACATTTTATGTTCAATCTAAATTCTGAGTAGGAATCAAATTACAGTTATGGAGAGATATCGAAATTCGTGAAATGGATGGCGGCCTTCTTTGATCGTGTTTTAAACTATTTCATTGCATTTCTTGGACACGAAAACCTGTAATTGCCACAAAGATCATGTTTCGATCTCAAGTAGATCCAAAGGTACGGCCATATATCAAAATTTGTAATACGGATGGTGGCCATCTTGAATTTCTCAATTTTGTGGGGGAACCATTGGTTTGCCAGCGTGGATCCTATTACAATCGGATTCTGCATACTCCATAACCCCTACGTACACATTTTCATGCTTTCTTCCGGAAGTGAACATCTATTTGACATATCTGCCCAGCTAACATGTATATGTCAAAAGCAAAAAAATTGTAAGTTTCCTTGTTAATATACAATATACAGCGTATCTGATTTATTTGCCCAGATAACGCACTGCATACATGGACGTGGTTTGGGTTTTGGTGTTTATATCATGATACAACTGACTTACAGTCAGTTCTGAAGTAGATGGTAACTTCACGTATCAACACTGTGTCATTGAGATCCACACGCCACCAGTTGGGGTTGCTGGGCGCTGTATCTATACAGACAAGATACGAGTTTGCATCAGTGTTTCCGTCTGTAGCTTTGGATGACGGAAAATTGTTATCTCCACTGGATGATGTAGCCTTCTTCCTCGCAATATTATCTAGAAAATACATCAACATGGAACTTCTTTTAAAATATCAGATTTGTTTGTCTTTAATATCTTCAGTCAGCGTAGTTTTGCAGAATGTGGTCTCTTTCATTGCTTTACATTGTTACGTCTGCTCATTAACAAGACTTACGTTTATCAAACACATTTAAAATTCTTTACATACAATACCAGGCTTGTTATACTGTTTACCATGTTAATATTGAAAAGATACACAAATGTTCGGATTGCTGGACTCAATGTTTTACAGTACATAGAAGTGTCTGTCCTTTCATGGTCCATATTTATCTCTGCCGGACTATGTAAACCTATATTTGTCACAGTTTATCAATTAAACATGCCATCATCACATTTAGGGACCGACCGTTTCACAGTCCAGGAGTTTGGATTTTTTTGTCAGAAACAGTTAGAAACATGATCGTCAAGGCGTAAAAAGAGACGAAGGCAACATTTTGACGAAATGTCAGATTTACTCATTGTCGCAATGTTGTTCTTTCTTGAAATATTGAAAACAGGCTGAAGAACACGCTTCGTCGGGCTACCGTCTATTTCTCAAATTTGAACAAAGTATCAATGTGCCCAGTACAGATTCCTGGATGGGACTCAACCAAAAACAATACCAGTATATGTACTTTACAAAGAAAGTGTTATCCTAAATATAACATTTGTTGAGTGAATACCACATGTTGGTTGGTTGTTGGTTTCACACTAAAATTTATTTACTTACAGATTTCTGGGTCAACATGTTGTTTAAAGTTGTAACGAAAGAAATTTGTACATTTACTCAATATCAAAAGATATACAATAATACAGGTCTTCTGATTAAAAAAGACAACGCCTCAGTGTTATCCATATTCGTATTTCTGCCACAACAAAATATGTTTCCAAGCAAAATGGAACCACCAGATTCAAGAACCGAGGTTCATGAGACACCGAAAAAGTTACATTGGTGACATAAGGGTTAGCTTTTGAATACATTCTATGACTGCCAAATTGAAGATTGTTAATGTATGTGACCCGTTAGAGACAGGACTAACATGAGTGACAGGGTATGACAGCTGAATCAGTCGTTGATAGCCGAGAAATATATTTGCAATTTGACACATCATGGGTGGTCAGTATAAAAAAGGTTTCCAGGGTCAGTACGATGTCAGTAGTGGTTTGTGCTGCCATAGTTACATACGTTTCTGACATGTCGGACCAGACCATCCTGGGTGACAGGCTGGCGGACTGCAGCCGGAAGTAGAATCACACTTGTCTTGGTCACAGTTACATCTGTAGCCGCACTGGAAACCGTAAGTACCGTAAGGACAGCTGCCTGTAATAGATATACATATATAAAGTGTCACTGGTAGCCGTATTTACCATCAGGACAGCAACCTGTTACAGAAGTATTATAGAACAGAAAGACAGTGACTTTTGTGTGCATATGCATCATCATGCAGTATACCTCTGTTGTTATGCGTGGTTTAGATGGTGACCTCTTAAAGATTTCCCAATTCTATTTATTTAATATAAATTGATTATATGCAATTTGTACCAAACCAACAAGAAAATGAAGAAACTTACTTCATGCATCCCCAAAATATAAGCCAAGAAAGGTAAACTGCGTTAATAAAATGAAACCCATGTTGACTGACAACCATATGCAATTCCCTATTTTCTGGTGTCGTTTCTCTAGATGGTAACTTCACATATCAACACTGTGTCATTGAGATCCACACGCCACCGGTTGGGGTTGCTGGCTATACAGACATACCATGTGTGTGCAGACGAGTTTCCGTCTGTAGCTATGGATGACGACCAGGGATCCTCTCAACTGGATGATGCAGCTGTCATCCTTGCAACATTATCTAAAAATGCATCGACGAGATAATTCGTCAAGTATTTATACAATGTTTGCATTCAATATCGTCAGCCTGCGTTTATTTACAAAATGTGGTCACTTTCTTTGCCTAAAAGCATCAAACAGGGTGTACTGTTGATGATGTTAACAAAGAAAGTACACAAATGTTGAGATTGGACGACTTTTCAGTACAGATAGGTATTGTATTTCCCTGTCATCAGAGATGGACAGTGACACTGGTATCCATATCAGGACAGCTGTCTGTAACAGAAGTATATCAGAGATAGACAGTGACACTGATAGCTTAATGTACCATCAGGACAGCTGTCAGTAACAGAAGTATTATATCAGAGAGAGAAACTGACACTGGTAGCGAAATGTACCATCAAGGCAGCTGCCTGTAACAGAAGTATTACATCGACAATCTTCTATAAACTACATCGCGTGCGTTTGAAAGAACGTACGGCTTGTTTTTGTGTCAACGAGACCACCATTGAGAGATAAAACCCTTTTGATTTGGGCCAGGATTTGTGCTGGGCATAGGAACTCAAAACGATGGCAAAACACTGTACCTGACGGAAGCACGAGGGGTTATTTCAATGTTCCAGTCCCGCATTTTCCCTTCATTTCGAGTAATATACCACCAGAGCTGGCTTATTGCGTCTACATTTCCCGTTACGTTATGTACATTGCCTTCATATTTCATGTAATGAAACTCATTATGTTTAAAACTATTAGGGAAGGTGAAATCATTCCAGAAATTGAATGGATGACTATCCATAGGGTATTACACTTCAGTGTTTTGGATGAAGTCTGTCACAGTGAACAGTTGTGTCCATACGTAACACTTCCAATCTAACGACTTTGTAAATACACCCATGTCATCCATACATGATTAGTTAACAAAACACATGAATATGGACAATGTGTCAAAAATAAAGACTCATCACTATTTCAGGTGACTCATGGACACATGCTCATTGCTAAATGTCCAAAATTGTTCATAGTTGTTTTTGTGGCATGTTTCTATTTGTTTGATAACACACACACATGATAACCACCCGGAATACATATATCAATATGAAGGATATTAGGATCAGAATCATATGTCTGGAGATTTACACATATATAGACCCATGTTTTATTCCAGTAATATCAACGGATCCAGTACGTGTTTTCAAGGGCACACGTGCTCTTTCTAGGTTTTTTAATTATTTGTCGCCTCAGTTCAATTTTGGCATGCGACTATAGCTCTGAAATGTTAGGTTATGTAGCGTTTGCTGGATGGCAATTTCATTGTTTTCTTATGACAGAGGTGAGTTAAACAATAATCCTTACATTTGAATTTCTCGTTGTAGAAAGCGACCAGTTTGTTGGTACACTATATCCGATCCAATTTCCATTACCAATCAAGAGTTCAATCAACGTTTGTGAATGGAACTATTAATGGAAGAACGGCACAATATGAATACATGGTTAACTCAAACAAACATGAGGAAAACTCACAGCACATCCCTTAACAAGCCAAAAGTATTTTAAACATAAATCTATATAAGTCTGTGAATGATATTTAGAAGTGATAAACATGAGGAATATAGTTTATGCATGACATCTTCTTAAATTATGAAGAACACAACGTTTCGGAGTACATATTAACTACATCATCAGGTGAATAAATGCTATGAAGCAGACAAGATATAAATGTACCTGTAAGAACAACAGAAAGGTGGAAACTTAGTAAGGGAAGCCAATGGTTAATTGACTTTGATAGGTGTTTAGCAATGGACACATGGAAGCCTAAACTTTAAAGTTAATTAGCGATGATAGGTGATAGACAACTCTAAACTTCTTGTAAAATTCTTTGTCGCTAGCCGTTGTTGTTGGTAGACAGGACTTCGGTAGCTTCCCACATGCTGTTAAGGTCATGTTTCTTCAGGATGTATTTGGAAATATCGGATTTCAGGTCTAGTTTGTTGACACACGTCTGATGTTCTTTGAGTCATATGTTGAGGGGTCGGAGAGTTTCTCAAATGTATTGGTGGCCAGCAGGGCATCTGGTATATACATCCTCTGCGACTGGGACTCGCGATGCTAGTGCCTCTACCATTGCTACTTTTGTTTTGTTCAGGAGGTGGGAAATCTGATGAGTGGCAGGGCTGTGGTAGGATATGGTGATTGTGATAGTTTTGAGGGTCTTGCGGATACCATTTGTAGCATTTATTCGACTGATGAAGGAGTAAGTTTATACTCTGAAACGTTGTTTTCTTCATAATAAAGAGGTTGACATGCGGAAATTATCTTCCTTATATAGCTATAAACTACGCAACATAACAAGTCCTGAAGGTAAGCATATACGTGTACATGAGTACAAACAGGAATAGTATTGATTTAGTTTTATTCCGTTTGTCAGGTTGCAATCCAAAATAAGTCTGTTAGGGATATATTCATGCGACAAATAGAAGTAGAACTGCTTCATCTGTCAGAAAGATTTAAAGCTTTTTTTCTGCCACTGCTTAAATGCACCATTGCGCAGAAAATCGATTTTACTAATATGTTGAGTTATCACTATACACTCTTGAGAATATATACATGCGCAAACCTAACTAAAATCCTCGTTTAAAACTGTTCCGTGATGCATATTCCTTTAATGTGACCACCGTCAAACACAGTTGTAAATTCCACAATGGGGTGAAGTCAACAGATCGTCTTTCTTTTTTCTTTGCCCAGCAACTGTTAATCTGATGTTTGTTTATGATAAGTAGATCCTGCTATGGGCTTGTCTACAGCTGAGGTCACAAGTGGGTGTACTAGTTTGGTGAAAAATGATGTTCAATGCATCACATTTGAATATTTCTTCCATCTTCGAAAACAGGTTAGCAAATCATGTTGTTACGATACAGTTTTCACTTTTCAACCTATAATATCTTGATCTCCACTGAAATGCTACTGATCACAGAAGCACATTACTTAGATAGGCATTGATATGGAGTGGAAGGTATATATTTTCAACAGTACCTCACTTCCCTTCTTGTTGTCTGTATGGGATATTGCACAATACTTGTTGATATCAAACTGCCGGCACTCAATCAGTCGTTGTGGTCATATTGGGCTCATGGTGTTTGAGATAGTGAAATGTATGAATAAATATTCCTACCTGTTGAGTGACCCAGAAACGATACCTTATGATAAACTACCCTGGTAGTCTCATATCTCAGTCAGTTGCCAGTCAACACCTAGACCAAACACGTCACGTATTATACTGTGACCTGTTGTCATACATGAACAAATATTAATAAGGCGACACGACAATCAAACCCGAAAAGATATGCAAGTTTAACTTACATGAACACTGTCCTAGAAGGATCATGCACAAGACCGCAGTCCCAAGATACCGCGCCATTGTGTGATAAGAACACAGTACTACTAGGAAGTGAATTGCTACACTGCTTGGCTACATCATTATCAACAAGGAAGTATATTACACATACACAGCGTATCTTAGTGTCAGAAATATAGAGGCTCTTAACCGAATACGCCTGCAGTTGAGACCACTGCACACATTGCTGTAATGCTAGTTTTTCTTTTTAGAGTATCACTGTCTAATGTTAGCTATCGCTATGTAATATCACCCTTAGCAACCCATGAGCTTAGGTCCACAGCGAGCTTAAACATTCTTAATTGCCAACAAATATGTGGTACTTGAATGTACACTCTTCTAGGAATATGATGCTCACAATATTGTGGAATTTTCTTGATCATCTCTGGTATTGGTGACGTCACAGGCCTTCCAATTCGGAATGGGTAGGTGTGTGTGTGTGTGTGTGTGTGGGGGGGGGGGGGGGGGGGGGGGTCGTTTTCAAGACTACTGCCCACTTCTTTATAGTGGCATGGAAGGGACATCTTTCACAAGTGTTTCCTATCTTTATCCCCATTGAAGCATTTGGGTGTTAAGCCCTTTTCTGCATGTACGCGATCATTGCACGTACCTCATGTTTGTAGTATTGTATGTAATATTTAGTCCTATTAAACACAGCAATGTTGATGTACATAGTGTCGACAGTACAAAAGAGGTCGAACGCCGAATATTTATCTTTTGATGAACTGAAGGATGATTTATAATTAACCAATTGACCCGTTAAGGAGGATAAAAGAACAAAGACGTATCCATATACCATTTTGTTGGTGTTGCGCCAGGACGTAATATCTCATTTCATTGGGTGTAGTCTGACAAGGTGAAAAGCTGTGTCAATACATAACACTGCTTGTGCGACGGTTGTGTAAGTACACCCATGCGTTATATGTGTGTATATGTCTGTTAAAATGATGACAGGTCTTATCTGTATGTCATGTGTCATGATTTGAGGCGAGGTGAAACGGGTTTAACGTCGCGTCCAAGATTAACGCACTTATATAGCAATTGATTTGATACATAACAGAACATTATTATGTTAAACATTAAGCAGAAGTACATAATACACCACCTGTGTGTGTAAGAACAATATTTATAATAAACTAGTGTCCAAAAGAAACGATACCAACTTATTTTCAAAATTGTTTTTTACTAAGTGAATTGTCAAGTATGAAAACATGCCAATTCGTATTGCACATCCCAAACACAGCATAGTCGTTAAAAAATACCGGGAACACGTGATCACTTCCGGGAAAAAACGTAAATTTCGTGAAAGTGACATTTCCCTCTCTAGCATGTTATGCACGTGCATAAAAACTGTATAAAACGGCTGATCAGACACGTTGATATCACAGCAACAAAAAGAACACAAGATATGCCACGTTTGACAGCCATCGAGAGAGAGAGAGCCGTTGGAATGGTCCAACAAGGAGCGTCACACGTCGACGTCGCCAGAAGGTTGGGCTGCGCATGCATCACTATCACCAGGTTGATGCAGCGGTTACGTCAGACAGGTCAGACGTCAGACAGGCCCAGGAGTGGAAGACCACGAGTAACCACGCCCCGTGAAGATCGTTACATCCGGGTAATACACCTGAGGAACCGCACCGTAACAGCGACGTCCACGGCGGCTACAGCACTGGGACACAGGATCAGTCGACAGACCGTCTACAGGAGACTACGGCAGTATGGTATCCGGCCACGTCATCCCTACCGCGGACCGCTCCTGACGCCTCGACACCGGAACAACAGACTGATCTGGGCCAGGCGAGTTCGACGTTGGCAACGGCGGGACTGGGCACGTGTTATGTTCTCTGATGAGAGCAGATTCCTCATCTTCAGAAACGATGGACGGCAGCTTGTATACCGACGATTTGGTGAACGTTTGGCGCCTAACTGTATCCAACAGGTCCGGCCGTTTGGAGGTGGAGGGTTAATGGTTTGGGGTGGCATATGTGGTGACGTCAAAACGATGCTTGTCGTAATTCGTGGAAACCTGAATGCACAGCGTTATCTTGATGACATCCTACGGCCTGTTGTGGTGCCCTTTATTCAGCAACAGCCTCGTGGACTCCTTTTCTAACATGACAATGCAAGGCCACACACAGCAAGATTGACACAGAACTTCCTTGCCAACGCCAACGTACAGGTTTTGCCATGGCCCGCATGTTCACCGGACATGAATCCCATCGAGCACTTATGGGACCACCTCGATCGGCAAATCCGACGTCGCCGTGTGCCTCCAGTCAACGTCCAGGACTTGGAACGATGTCTCCTCGAGGAATGGCAACGCATCACTCCCAACGTCATCAGACGTTTGACGTCATCAGTCCGTAGGCGTGTTCAGGCATGTATTGATGCTCACGGTGGACATACCCGCTACTGACTTGACTTTTAAACGTGTGGTGTGACATTTCCCGTTGTTTCTGTGATCAGTGCTCTAAGGAAATGTTCATTTTTCGACCCCACCCATTTTTAAAGGCTTGTCATATTGGTTGTACAGATTTTATTGAAATGAATTTTTTGTACAGATGTTGTGAAAGGATTTCTTAAAAGCATAACACCAATCCTAAACTTCTGCATTGTTTAGTTTTTCTTTTATGTCTTTGCAAACAGGTGGTATCGTTTCTTTTGGACACTAGTTTATATGCAACTAAAGAGGTGTAACTTTTGTGTGTGTGTGGATTCACACCATGTCATTATATATCTACCCTTTTTCAGTTTGAGTCAGTTGACCTAGCCTGCCGACCACAAGTTTGCCGCATACAAACATAAGAGTGTTCTATGGCTACGGGTCCATTATTATCACAGAAACGCACACTCAGAAAAAATATAATGAGGACACGGGAATTAATGTTTTGTTTCAATAACATAGATTTTTTTGTATTCCATTCGGGAGAAGGACAAGTTTTGTAATGAAGGAAACAATATCAGAATATTCAATTCGATTCAATCTTTTTATGTCTTTTTATGTTAATATTTCTTTTATTTCAGTATCTCACCGCCAACCGAAATCACACCAACCTAACACAACGGTAACTTCAGCACAACAATACATTTCACAAGATAGTGCGTGACTTTTGCTCTGACATGTTGAAGTAAATATGACATTTCCTTGATACTCGTTTTATTGTTTTATTGTTAACCATACAGTGGAGTGAGTGAGTGAGTTGGGTTTAACGCCGCTTTTAACAGTATTGCAGTTATATGGCGGCGTGTCAGCTTAGTGTGGGAGGAAAGCCCGAAGTGATGCAGGTCTCAGACGTTTACCACTTCGGTGAAACCCACGAGCACGGGTATGGTGGTGCTGACAAACCTAGAAACATAATCGGGGCGAACCGGGATTCGAACCCACAATCATAGGTTTCTGGCGTGCCCAAGGGACGCAACTCTGCACAGCGATTCGCGGCGACTCGGACGCCTTGACCACCCGTGCTATAATAGTCCAGGGCGGGATGATGCACCTTATTGGTGCACCCTTTATGTAAAGTGACAAAATACTTTTTAAACACGTATACTGAACAGGAAAAGAAACGCAAGTATAGATTACTAAACATAAAATTTGCAATGTGAAACTTTCCAAAAATAAATGAACCAGGTAAATAATGGTCAAACAAGACTATTCATGGCTTCCAGCATTCATTTTGAACACATTGGAGAAACGCAGCAGTTCCATCTCCTGAGGCACATTTTGAACGAGCAATATTACGCATAAGAAAATCACGTGCTATTTGTGTGGTTTTAAGACATGGAAATGGTAAATCCACTCTCAGTTGAATCTGCAACTTCAATCGACCTTGCATGTCATCTGACCACCATCAGAAGTCGCTTATCTCGTCATCAACAGACAAGCAGTGAACAGGATCGACGCCGTTCTGGGCGGTCATGGGTAACAACTGCAGCACAAGATCGACACATCTGTGTGACGCATCTCAGAGACTGACAGCAACAAGCATCACATACAGCTGCCAGTCCTCAAGGCCCACATGGTCAAGTATCATCCAACACCATTCGTCACCGCAGGGATCCAATGTCTGTGCCCACATGTAGGGGCCACTACTTACATCTCGTATGAATCAAGATTCCTCAGACTTTCTTCCTGGAACTCAACAACTCAATGAGGCGATGCTGTACAGCTTGTAATGCTGCTCTGGGAAGCTATGACCTTTTCATGGGCGAAGTCTGCAAATCACTTGTTGTTTTGGATCTCAAGGGGCACCTGTTAAACACGATGATTTTGAGTGAACACTATCACATGGTAAACAAACCTATGCTATGAACTGTTTGAATTATCATAGAAGTGAATTAAAATGTACAAATCGTTTTATGTATAATGCTTGAAAGCATTTCAAATGAAACTTTAGTTTCTCTTGCTATTATGTATAATAACACCACTACTCTGATACTGATCTTGCATGTAGGCAGGTTTACGGCCCGACTGGTATGTCGGAGCCTGTAATAGAGACCTGTGTAGCACAAAGGGACACTGTGAGTTAACCAGAGTGCAACAAGTGTACATATCACCTACTCTGGGAGTTACACCTGTGGGGACCCCACCACAAAACGGCTTGTACGAAATGACTAATCTGGAAGGGGCGATCAGATTTCGTGACTTGGTGGACTGTGTGTCATCGTGTCCTAATTGCACGGATCACAGACAAACATGTTGTCCCGGTGGGTAGTTTGTTGTTAATCAGTAACTTTTTATTATCCATTCAGTGTGTGATTATCCATAATCTCAAGCAGCGATTACATTTGTGTAACTGCAGCATGTTGGTAAATGACGTACAGGTGTACATATGGTTATCAAACGTTTCCAAAGACGGGTTAATTCCAAGGACACCAACACCCGCCTGGGATAACTTGTGTCTGCTGTGACACGGAGACAGAGGTTTCAGGATAACCACGCAGCCAAATTTCGTCCCAGAGAATAAAGTAATTTATTTGATAAATTTAGGGAAAACATATGGTTGCGCCATCTCGATTGACAGATTCCATAAATT